AAAAAGAAAATTCTATAATTTGTGACAACACGGATTAACTTGGTGGATATTATGTTAAGTGAAGTAATCCACTCAGAAAGAAAGATACTGCATGTTCTCTTCATATGTGGAATCTAAAAGAGTTGAATTCACAAAAGCAGAGAGTAGAATGGTGATTACCAGGGTGCAGCAGGGGTGCAGAGCATTGGGAAGATGCTGGTCACAGGATACAAAATTTCAGTTACACAGGAAGAGTAAGTTTAAGAGATCTGTTGTACAACATAGTAACTAAAGTTAATAGCAATATATTATATTCTTGAAAATTACTGACAGTATATTTTAGTGTTCTCACCACACAAAAAAGATAAATATATAAGACAATGCCAAGTTAATTAGCTCAATTTAGCCATTCTACAATGTATATCTATTTCAAAACATCATGTGGTACACAAAAAATATATACAATTTTTACTTTTCAGCTAAAAACTTTTAAAGAAAACTATTACAAAAATGAGAGAATTTAGAGAAATCGTATGAAAAAAATGAAAACCAAGAGATTATTTTTTGAACGGAGAAGTCTTGATTGTCTTTGGAAGCTAAACGAAAGGATTGGAAGAGGGCTTATGCTACAAGAAGAATATATAAATGAAGGAGTAAAGGGAGAGAGGGTAGGGAATGAAGATGAGAAAGGAAGGATCTCAGTAATAACTGGAGAAGTCAACCCTAAATTGGAGAATGAGCACTTACTCCTCTGAAATAAAAGGCCAAGGAGTAAAAACGGTTCCTGTATAAGATAGTGAAAATGTGTAAGAAAGTTTCCATCTGAGAAACTTAATCATCTGTGATCTTTATTTTTACCTGTGAAATAGAAAGAAAGGTTGAATGTCAGATATGTAGAGACTAATTGATTATTACCATAAAGTCAGCTCCCAGAATGCAAGCTAGGACCTTGATAATACCCTCATCTTCCCATAAGGTCATCTAACAGTGAGAGAGGTCTAATGTGGCTGACTACATCTTACTTCTGAGCTCACAAGCTAACTGCCTTTGCTCATTCCTACATGTGGACCAAGCTAATCACAAACAGAATTTATATTATAGTTTAACTTTAGAACTAATGACTCCCTCTCTTTTGAGACAGACCCCCAAGGAAATAAGGAAGTATGCATATAAGTAACAATGATTAAAGATTTATAGAAACAAGGTGGACTTGACAAGTAGTTGACCATGAATGAAGAAGTTTTTCAACCTTCTCAGACCCTTGCTGATGCCCAGACATCTGTGGTCACCAGTTACCTCCTGGCCTTAGCCCCGTCCCTGTTCCCCCTCCCTCTAACATAAAAAAAGCCTAAAAATTAATCAACTTTAGGTAGTTCTTTAAGATATTAGTCCACCATCTTCTCAGTTTGCTGGCTGTCTGAAATAAAGTTGTCTTCCTTGCCCCAACAACTTGTCTCTCAACTTATTGGGTGTTGTGTGGCAAGTAGTAGACTTGGACTTGACAACAGTCACTAGCAGTCCAGCTCTCTGCTTCCTTTCACTATAACTATTAACCCAAATTTTATGTCCATCATTCTCTTCATTTTTATGTAGTTTTATTGAATGTACACGTATTCATAAAAAGTTTACTTTCACTTAAGTTCCTAATTCTGTAAAAGAAGTACTGAAGTACCATGATATAAAATACTAAGGTCTCTCTTTTTTCCCTTAATATTAGTTTCCTGAGTTACTTCTTCTGTTGTATGCCCTGGTTCCTTTGCTTTGATTGCTACTGAGTAACCCTTTGGTGAATATTTATCTGTTTCACTGTTGATGGACGTAACGGTTGTTTCCAGTTTTTATTGTATTTTGAATAATGCTGCTCTTATACTTTACATGTTTAAAACTTCCTTTTCAGAACATTCTTTTTATAATGAAAAAATAGATTTTTATATTATTTCTTCTGTTGCACTTCTGAAATAATTTTCTTGAGTATACTTTTATATAAACAGAAAGTAGAAACTTATTTTCAATTTTTAAGTTCAAAGAGAAAAGATGTGATAACTCCAAGAGCAATTTTCAGCATTTCCTGGTGAAATGAGTGATTAAAGAGATAATCACTTTATGAGGAAGATCAAGCAAAGAATCTGGTGAGGGATGGGAAAGCCTGAACTAAAAGCAGTGGTGAGTGCAGGCAGGTTCTGTGTCATCATCCCAGAGCTCTGAGCAGCTGAGCTGACTGATCACAGAATACGCAATCCCATGCACCTGTGTGCACACACACAAGAGGGAGTAGAAAGGAGAAACAAAGGACTGAAAATAAATTAGTGTTGGACGCTCATTAAAGCTCAATGAAGACCTGATATTAACAGAAGCATAGTTAACTGCCTCTAGCTGGTAGTAGTCCGGGCTAGTGGCACAAAGAGGAATATGGGAGTGGCAGCATCTGTAGAACCCATGAGACATACTTTATAATATGGATAGAGGGCTGGACAGGGAGGTGAGAAACAGCCATTTGGTCAGAAACAGCCTCTGACTGGGTTTCCACTCAGTGATTTCTAGGTTAAAAATAGTTCTGGTTTTGTGAGGCAGGAGAAAGATTTAGACTCTAGTGAGTGGTGAAACATAGCAAGTTCATGAGGGGCAGAACAAGGCCTCAAGGTGCAGAGCTCATTTGGTGGTAAAGTTTGAAGAAACGGCAGGCCAGGAGACATGCCCAAGGGGACTCATTAAAATGCCATTTCCTGGAGCAACATTTTCAGGGAGGTCATGTCAGCTGAGAGGGTGAGACTATGAAGCCTCCCCCAGGACAAGGCTCACTGTTGGCCCAGGGACAGTGAGGCTGGGCATTGGTGGGTCTCTTTTAAGCAGCTCCTCTTATACCTCCCTTTTCCACGTTCCTGTTGTGCTCCTCTTTTATCATTAATCCTAGCACGAGGGGAATATGTGAAATCTGAGGACCTGGACTCAAGAACTCAGCTAGAACCATTCCAAAGCAGTAAGGACTTTTTCATAAGGACAGTGGATGAAAAAACTTTGGAGGAGATTCAGCTCCTTGCTTCTGCAGGATCCTGCCCTGGTTCTCAGCTGCCTGTCTGCATCTATCTCTACTCTAGAGAGGATTTGAGGTGCCAGTGACTGGAGGAGCCTTTGACTTCTCATCCCAGAGACAGCCATACACACACCTACATTCATCCCTGCCAGAAGAACCAACTCTTCTTTCTTTGTCTTCTTGAACCTCTTTATCCCTCAAATGATTCTCAATAGAGTTGGTATGGTCTGGAAGCTGTGCTCCTTCCTATATGAGGTAAGGGCTGTGTTTCTGTTTCAAGGCAATATGTGAAGCCTGGAAGTCCTGAGATACAGAGTCAAGACCCTACACTGCTCTCCTTCTCAGATTCTCTAGTTCCTCAGGCTTCATTGTTCACTCACTCCCATCTATACCTTATGCACCTTGTACATGTACCATCTTGCACATGTGGGGACGCCCAAAATAATTCTGTGCCACTAGCCAGCCGTGAGTTCCTAGAATTCCTGATGCTGATCTCCTGGTAAAAGTCTCAGTACTTACCTTTGTTACATCTGGACTTTCCTGGCCTACAATAGTTTGTTGTGAGTCCCCAAATGAATAGTAGCTCAAAGGAGGACTATCTAAAATATGCTGAAGTGACTTTCCCTTGCAGGCCTGCTTGGCGCTAAGTCCAGTGCCACAGGAAAAAAAGCCAATTGATGTAAATTCAAAAAATGGATCTGCTGAGCAGAGAAAAAAAATCTTATACAAATACGCTTTCAAAAATTTAGCTCTACCTTATTATTGACTGACCATTTTCCATGAAATATAACAATGCCTCTCTTAATCTCAGCCTCTGCTGACTTCTCTTGGTTTGAAATACCTGCAACCACCAGCAGATTTTTAGAAAGAAGCGCTTCCTCTGTAGGCTCTGCATGTGTTCTCTGGCCTTTCCCTTTAGATGACCCCAGAGGGTTCTCTGGCCTTTCCCTTTAGATGACCCCAGAGGGGAGGACCCAGTGAATGGAAAAGGAAGGGAAAACGATAGTCCAGGATCAGAGGGAGGAGATAGGTATGTAGGATCCTGAGTCCTGGTTACGCCATCTTACTCAAGCCCTGATTTTTGTTCTCTTTGAAATTCTGTCCAAACATCTGGTGCAGGGATCTAGAGGAATGTGCCCAGCTAATAGTTTTACTCATTTTATTTCCCTGTCCATCCATCTTTTTATTCAAGAAAAACGAAAGCATTTCAAATCTAATATTTAGCAGAAATAGTGCTTAGAATTATTTTTGGACTTGTTTTTTTGTTGTCAACAGACAAATAAGTTTTTCCAGTCAGTGGTTCCTAGGTTAAAATTATAGTTTTTGTTTTGTAAGACAGGAGAAAGATCTTAGACTCTGAGTGGTAGAGGGCATTTTTCTGGCTGGTTTCTACCCAGACTTCACTGGGCAAAAGTGCAGGGAGGACATTCCTGTACTATATTTTTAATATGTGAATGTTCTGATGCTATCCCTCACTTTTTAAAAATTATATCCTGACCCTTTTTTATTTAGCCAGCTCCTGTTTATCCTCAGCCTGTAGTTTGTATGACACTTCCTTGGTGAATCCTTTCCTGAAACCTCACTTACATGTTCTCTTAGTATATTTTCTTTCATTTATCAATCATCACCATTGGCTGTATGTAGGTGTTTGTGTGATCAATTTTTCACATCTACGCAGTTGCCCAAGTGTAGTGTCTGATATATCATAGGTCCTTAGTAAATATTTATTGAATGGATAAAAGGAGCTGGACAGATGGGTCTTCCAATGTCAGGTTTTAATGACCTTACCACTTAAAGGTTCTAACTCTGAATTGACCGGGATAGTGACATAAATGGGTATTTGAAGAAGTAGGTGCAGATTATGCAAGGGAAAGATAACTAATTTGATGAAGAATTATTTTTCTCTTCCAAAAGGCCTCCTAAGTCTTCCATCCAACTGTGAAAAAAAACTGCATTCATAAAGAGCAAGCCAAGTGAATGCTGTCCCACACAAACCTCACACTCCACCTCTCCTTCTCAATCCCGACCAGCAGTGCTATCGTATGGATTCAGGGTTCGGCAGGACCACCATTCTTCCTTGTATTCCTAAGATTTGTGGGGAGAAATCTTCCCGCCTTGAGTGTGTTGCTGTGGCTCACAGGTAATGCTATTGCTTTGGGCCTTTTCTGCAATGCCTTCTCCTCAGTAGCTCACCCCTTGTATCATGTGCCCTAAACACAAGCACCTGCCATGCCACCACAAATCGCATTGCCTTTATTCCTGCCTGTTTCTGAGTAAACATCTTATTGTTATTTTCAAATAGGTAAACTCCTTTTGTACTGTTCCTCTAGATTTACCTCTAAAATCTACACCACATGACTGTTAAATTCAGCCGAGAATTCTCTTTCCGTCCAGCAGAGTAGCAGTTGAAGACTCCAGGTGAACAAGCAGCCCAAGAGCCCAGGGAGTCTCCTATTGAGGAAGGTAATCAACAACAATGAGACTGGTTTAAGGGAGAAGAGAGTAAATTTTTTTTTAATAAAACAAAAACTGAATTGGAATTCCAAGTACATGTTAAGCAGAAAAATAGCTGTATCTTAAACCAATGCCCAGGGTATTCGTTCATTGTAAAAAGAGAGACGCTCTCATCTATCTGCTAAGATGTTTGCTTTGGCTTGTTCTTCTGGAACCTTGTTTGAAGGGATTTCTAAATGATTAACTGTTAACAACATACCAAAATACCTGATACTAATTTAGTTGATGGTTTATCATAATTCAATAAAGGCATTCAGAAATCAGTTACATTAAGAGATGAAAAAGATACCATATTATGGGATTCCTATTGGCCAATGCACAGTGACTTAGAACAATCCAAAGCTACAGTGAACACTTTTAGAAAAGCTTCCACTGATAATATATTTTGTTCTAGGCCACTAAAAAAAAAAAACACATCATGGAGCTCCGGAACTCCACCTTGGGAAGTGCCTTCATCTTGGTGGGAATTCTAAATGACAGTGGGTCTCCTGAAGTGGTCTGTGCTACAATTACTGTCCTTTACTTGTTGGCCCTGACCAGCAATGGCCTGCTGCTCCTGGCCATCACTATGGAAGCCCAGCTCCACGTGCCCATGTACCTCCTGCTTGGGCAGCTCTCTCTCATGGACCTCCTGTTCACATCTGTTGTCACTCCCAAGGCCCTTGCAGACTTTCTGCGCAGAGAAAACACCATCTCCTTTGGAGGCTGTGCCCTTCAGATGTTCCTGGCACTAACAATGGGTGGTGCTGAAGACCTCCTACTGGCCTTCATGGCCTATGACAGGTATGTGGCCATTTGTCATCCTCTGAAATACATGACCCTCATGAGCCCAAGAATCTGCTGGCTCGTGGTGGCCACATCCTGGATCCTGGCATCTCTGACTGCTCTAGGCCATACCACATACACCATGCACTTTCCTTTCTGCATATCCTGGGAAATCAGGCATCTGCTCTGTGAGATCCCACCCTTGCTGAAGTTGGCCTGTGCTGATACCTCCAGGTATGAACTTATAATATATGTGACAGGTGTGACTTTTCTCTTGCTCCCCATTTCTGCCATTGTTGCCTCCTACACACTAATCTTATTCACTGTGCTCCATATACCATCAAATGAGGGGAGGAAGAAAGCCCTTGTCACCTGCTCTTCCCACCTGACTGTGGTTGGGATGTTCTATGGAGCTGCCACATTCATGTATGTCTTGCCCAGTTCCTTCCACAGTCCCAAACAAGACAACATCATATCTGTTTTTTACACAATTGTCACTCCAGCCTTGAATCCCCTCATCTACAGCCTGAGAAATAAGGAAGTCATGGGGGCCTTGAGGAGGGTCCTGGGAAAATACGTGCTGCTGGCACATTCCACGCTCTAGGGCCAGCTCGTGGCTTGCCTCTCACCATTCCTCCTCCAAATAAAATTCTCTACTTACTCATTCTTTATTACTATACTCTGTCTGAGATGATACAAACATTTTTTTTAATTTTACTTTTATTTTCTACTCTGTAGCTGGTGTGTACAATGATCTTGAGTTCAACTCATTTGGCACACATCATCCTGACTTTGGAAACCCATGTTATAAGAACTAGATGGGGGAGAAAGCCTTGAATGGGTGTTGTAGACTCATTGTCTGGTAGGGCATCATCCTGACACATTACCAAGTAGAAATGGTAGGGGATTAGCTTTCCATTTTAACATCATGTAGCAGTGAGAAGCAGCAGTAGTTTTGGACTGACCAAATTCCAGTAGATTCTCAGCACCAGAGGAGGACTGCTCCCTTTAAAGCAGATTATTTATTAATAGAGGGAAGAATTTTCAGAAAATATATTAGGCTTCCTGTTTATTAAGTAGATAATTGTTTGAGTACTTAGTGGAAATGAATAAGAGATATGTGACTGCATTTGTACTCTACACCTGAAGAGACGTTCACATTGGTACCTGAGTAATGATAAATAATTACATTGAAAGAGTGGGGCTGGGCACAGCAGCTCATGCCTGTAATCCCAGCACTTTGGGAGGCCAAGTCAGACAGATCATTTGAGGTCAGGAGTTTGAGACCAGCCTGGCCAACATGGTGAAACCTGGTCTCTACTAAAAATACAAATATTAGTTGTGCATAGTAGCAGGCACCTTAATCCCAGTTACTCTGGAGGCTGAGGCAGGAGAATTGCTTGACCCTGGGTGGTGGAGTTCGCAGTGAGCCAAGATCACACCACTGCACTCTGGCCTGAGTGACAGAGACTCTGTCTAAATAAATAAATAGAAAAAGTAGAAAGGGATAAAGAATGATATTTCTACTTGGAAATTTTGACAGAGTCTTTTTGAAAATGGGCATTTTTACATTGCCTAAAATAAAGAATGAATAAAATAGAATTGAAAGTACCACTTTTAAAATGAGTACAATAACAATAAGAGAAATTTGTTGGGCATATTGTCTAAATTTTTTAAAATGTGGACTTGTGGATATAAGAATGTATTTTTAAACATTAAAATAATTGAAAAAGCTTATACTCTTGAGGTGAGTACATGTATATCTGTGTGTCCATAGGAACAAAAAGTATAAAATATATAATTTACTTTTTAGCTAGCCAAATATGCTTTTTTTTTTCCATTTTATTCATTGGTATGGGAAGATTTATAGCAAAATCAGGGAACTTAAATTTGTTGAGTGCAGAATTTCCAAAATAACTTGGCTTATATAGGTGTTATTATTCTTGAGAATAGTGCTTTGTCAACACATAATAATTTTTTCTACAGAAATAACATTACATTATTTAATCTATAAAGCTAAACCATAAAAAAAGATAAAGCTAATCTATAAAATTAATCCAAGTTATTATAAGAACTGAGAAAATTAAGAAATTTAGAATGAATAAAAAATCACATAAATTTTTATTTTTTGTTGTACATATTTGTATTTTACTGAATTTAAATATCCATGATGATGAAGGTCCTGGGTTTTTTCATTTGAAATTTGATGAATCTTCTTCTTTGTTGTGAGGGGATATTTTAAAGTAGTGATGAGGAAGGGGACCAGAGTGCCTGCATTTGAATCCCTCTCTTCCCTTGGTCATCTATGCATCTTTGGACACTAAATTAAACTCTTTGTACCTCAGTCTGCTGTTGTTAAAAGTGGTGATATTTACAGGCCTGCTCTCATGATATTGTTGGGTAAATTAAATAAGATCATAAATATCAGATACTTAGACCACAGCTTAGTAAATTGTGCTTAAAACATTTTGGCTGTTATAGGGATAAATTGTAAAAAGCCTTTTAAAAAATATTATTTTATTGTTTCCTTTTAGAAATGAAACATTTATTGTTTTTATTAACAAAAATTGTATGTATTAATGTGGTACAACATGATGTTTTGAAATATGTATACTTTATGGAGCTGCTAAATCAAGCCAACTAACATATGCCTTCACACACTTACCTTTTTTGTGTTAAGAACAGTTAAAATATCTGCTTTCTCAGCAATTTTCAAGTATACAATATATTCTAATTATTGCCGTGATGTACAATAAATCTCTGGAACTTTTTCCTCCTGTCTAACTGAGTTTTGTGTCCTTTGACCAGCATCTCCCAAATCCCCTTACCTCAGCATTTGGTAACCAACATTTTACTCTGTTTCTGTGAATTCAACTTACAGGTTCTGCACATAAGTGAGATCATGTGATATTTTTCTTTCTATACCTGGCTTATTTCTCTTAAAATAATGTTCCCCATGTTTATTCACATTGTTATGAATTACAAGATTTCCTTCTTTTTTAAAGGAGTTTCTATTGTGTATACATTTCACATTTTTAAATCTCTTCATTCGTTGATGGACACTTAGGTTGATTCCATAGCTTGGCTATTGACAATAATGCTGCAATGAACACAGTGCAGATATCTCTTAATCATACTAATTTCATATTCTTTGGGTATACACCCAGAGTGGGATTGCTGAATCATTTAGTAGTTCTATTTTTAACTTTTTGAGGAACCTCTGTACTGCTTTCCCTAATGTCTGTACCAATTTACATTTCCACCAACAGTGTGCAAGAGCTCCCTTTTCTCCACATCCTAACCAACACTTGTCATATTTTGTTTTTTTGATAATAGCCAATCTAACAGATGGAAATGTGATATCTTATATTAAGGTAATATCTCATTTGATGTGCATTTCCCTGAAGATTATTAATCTTGAGAACATTTTCATATACTTGTTGGCCATTTTTATGTCTTCTTTTAAGATGTGTCAGTTTAGGTTCTTTCTCCATGTTTTACTTAGGTTACTCTTGCTATTGAGTTCCTGATATGTTTTGGATATTAACCCTTTATTAGATGTATGATTCGAAAATATTTTTATCCATTCTAGAGGTTGTCTCTTCACTTATTTCATTTGCCATGCAGAAGCTTCATTGCATAAATGTGGCATATCACACTTATTGATTTGCATATGAGGCAGCATATAGTTGATTCTTCTTTTTTCTTTTCTTTTTTTTCTTTTTTGAGACAGAGTCTCACTCTATCGCACAGGCTGGAGTGCAGTGGTGCAATCTCAGCTCACTGCAACCTCCACCTCTCAGATTCAAGCAATTCTCCTGCCTCAGCCTCCCAAGGACTATAGCCACCACATCTGGCTAATTTTTTGTATTTTAGTAGAGACAGGGTTTCACTGTCTTAGCCAGGGTGGTCTTGATGTCCTGACCTCATGATCCGCCTACCTTGGCCTCCCAAAGTGCTGGGATTACAGGCTTGAGCCACCACACGTGGTCTATTCTTCTTTTATAAAAAAGTCTATTCAGATATTCTATGTGTTTTTATTGGATAAGTTGATCCATTTAGATTCAAGTGATAGGTGAGGTCTTACTACTATGATTTTATTGTTTTCTGGTTCTTTCGTAGATTATTTGTCCTTCCCTTTCTAGCTCGCTGTCTTTCATTGTAGCTGGGTAATTTTCTCCACTGGCATGCTTTGATTCTTTACTTTTTATCTTGTGTATATCTTCTGTAGGTTTTTGCTTTGTTGTTACCATGAGGCTATATAAAACATCTTATGGCTATAATAGGCTATTTTAAGATGGTAACAACTTTAACATTGATCACATACAAAAAATCTATACTTTTACTGCACCCTTCCCGCAACATTTTATGTCTTTGATGTCACACTTTACATCTTTTCATATTGTATTTATATAACTTAACAAATTATCAAATTAGTTTCGTTTTTATACTTTTCTTTGTCTAGGACAGTCTTTGTCTCTCTGTTTATGAAGGACAGCTTCACTGAGTACCGTATTCTTGGTTGGCTGGTTTTTTTACCGTCAGCACTTTGACTATATAATCCAACCTTCTCATTACAAAATTTCTCCTGAGAAATCCACTGCTATCCATATTAGGACTCCCTTATATGTTATCTTCTTCTTCTGTCTTGATGCTTTCAGGGTCCCTCTTTGTCTTTGTTTTTTGACATGTTGATGATAACATATCTTGATGTAATCTTGTTTGTATTGAATCTTATTGAAGACCATTGACTTTCCTGTGCATGGATATTTATATTTTCCATCAGCTTTGGAAAGTTTTCTGTTACTATTTCTTTAAGCTTTTTGTTTCGTATCTTTCTTTCTACTTCTTGACCTTCTGCACTATGAATATTTGTCCTTTTGATGCTCTTTCATAAATTCTCTAAGATTTCTTCATTCCTTTCATTTATTTTCTCTCCTGACTATATTTTTTTAAATAAAATGTCTTTGAATTCACAGATTCTTTCTTCTATTTGATCAGTTCTGCTGTTGACACTCTCTATTACAGTTTTCAATTCATTTATTTTATATTTCAGCTCCAGAATTTCTGTTTGAGTTTTTTGTATAAGCATAATCTCTGTTAATTTTTCTCTTTTGGTAGTTTATTGTTTTCCTGATTTCATTGAATTGTCTCTCTGATTTTCTTGAACACCATTAAGCTTCCTTAAAACAATTATTTTGAAATCTTTGTCAGACAGTTCATAAATCTCCATTTTTTAGTTCTTAGTGCTTTATTTTGTTCCTTTGGTGGTAATACATTTCCCTGATTTTCTTGATCCCTGTGACTACACTCGTTTCTGTGCTTTTGTTGAAAAAAAAAAAGACTTATTTCAATTCTTGCAGACTGTCTCTGTCTGTCTGAGAGAGACCTTAACCATTCAGCCTATCCAGAGATTCTGAAAAAGTCATTGGTGTGAAGTGCAGGCAGGCTTGCTGCTGGAATCCTTTGTCAGGCTGGCTGGTGCCTGGGTCAGGAGGTGGGCAAGCATGGCCCCTGGGTTCTAGAGGTTGGGCCTGGAGCCTGGATTCACTGGCTTGACCTGTTGTTTGGGTCCACAAAAGTGGTCCTCGGGCTTGTGTCCATAAGAGCTACCCTAG